TCAAGCACAAAAATGATCAAATTTATTTGCATACCCTAAATCATCTGCAGGCTCCCAGGTGTCTTCTTCTGGCCCATAACCCTTCCAACGAATCTAGAGACAGACATATTTGAAAACTTAAGAAACAGAGGAAATGGCTGGGACACTCTTGTCAAAATTATTCAAGCTTATATAAGTTCATTTTTTGAGCATCTAATTATGCACTAGAATAATATAACAATAATTCCTATAACAAGAACTATCGATAAGAATGATTGGGAAACACGGATCTAGATGTTTTGTCCTCATTAATTAGAATGACTTCAAATCCATTGCTCAAATATGAACATATCTACTGATGTGCAAATTAGAGACATATTATGGCTTCATCCAGAATGTGCATGCTGCAAAAAACTTTGCTCCTGTTTTGTTCCTTACTAGAAATAAAATACATATCTTGGTTTAAGTACCTTAAGATACAGTCCGGGTTTCTTAATTTCATTAGGGTCACCATAACATATCGCCAACACCTCCTCAACTTCAAATACTTCATCATCTTCCACATCATCACTGGCTTCATCATCATCATCACCTTGATCACCTTCTATACTTGTTGGATCTAGATGTTGCTGTTGTGAATCCCCACAACCTATTAATGAAAAGGAAGCACAGAGCTTCTCCCACTCCTTTAACAGAGATAGGAAATCTTCTGCAGATTCATTTCTAACCTGTATTGCATTAAAGATCAATCAGTCCATAAGTTTTATGCGTATGAATACGATGACAAAATAGGGGGGGAGTGGGGGAGAGAGATGATGATATGCAGTATAACGTACCTCAGTCTCAGGGTGGTTCAATTTCAGGCTCTTGCATGCATATGGATTCAAGTCAACAGCCCATTTCTGCATTAAAACACGTATAAAAGTAATTATAAAAAAGTGGGTTTTAGGTGTAACCAAAACAACATAGGACAATACAAAATGTGTTCACCTTCACCATAATTAATTCATATGTACATAACCAATCAAAAGAGTAAAATATAAGTTCAAACTTACAGTAACCACATTAACCCCAGAACTATTGGCACCTAGGCAAAGTCCAGTGGACATTGCGCCACAGCCAGAGTAAAGGTCCAAAAGCAACATCTCTGACTTCTTATGCTTTTCAACTTGAAAAATTTCAACACCCCCCACAGTTCCTGCAACATCAGCCTCACTGGAGATTGTAGAATCCGATTCACTTCCAGCCCCATGTTATCTGCAAAAAAATTTATTTCTGACTCCTAAGAACCAAAGAACTGTCCTTGTTTTCCACTGTAACTAAACAAAAAGCTCATTAAAAGTAGCAAATTGTTGATCTTAGCACTAAAAGAAAAATATACCTGGTGGTGGCAAGCTCACAAAAGAGGAATATGGCAACAAGTACATCATGTCATAGTAATAGTGGCAATCTGGAATTGCAACCTTCTTGGAATACATATCAACCTGAAAAAAAATCCTGATATGTTAATGCAAATACAGGACTAGAAAGTTTGCCAGAAATATGCCAGACAAGATCAGTCATACATTTAAAGGCAGATGAACAATTTTCAGCTTCTCAACGAGGCAATCCAGAGGATTGTCATCCTTCACTTCTGATAAAAATACACGTTTATCATCAATCAGGTTGCAACAGCTTTGAATGACCTAATACAGCAACAAAATGCAAAACGTCAGAGCACTACTATATTAAGAACAGCAACGCTTCCTGGGCATAGTTGCATAATTCCTACCGTATCACGGGCCCTATAAAACCATTGGGCTGTGAAGTAAGGTGTGCCATCTACTGCCTCAAAGAACTCCAAAATTCTACAAATATAATTATCCTTCCCCTCTTCAGCCTAAACAAACACAACAAATCAAGGTAGAAACATAAATCACATAATGATATCATCTAAAAATAAAAAGATATAGGTCCATCGAATCTAAAAAACACAACTACTAAAAATTTGAATGAAGCCACCCACAACACCCCATTCTAGACATATTAAAAACAATAATAAGGATTTGTTGTCCCATTTTCTGCAGAAAAAACACCATTCATTGATTTTGCTTCTAGTACACAACTAAATAATTCAAACTTCATCCCTACCATCTGGGTAAGCTACACATGTCATTTTCCTCCATTATGTTTTACCAAGGGTATTATTACCATCAATAGGAGCTAAAGATATTCCATAAATATGACCCAACTCCAGACCACATAACTAAATTCTCTTACTTTCTTCCAAGGGTAGTAATCATACCATTTTACCAATACATTAATCCATAATGATATTATTTATTGTTCTGTTTCAAACTCATCTTAATATTAGCATTTTAACCATGCTTTGTTTATGAACCTAATGTTTTTCTGTTGCCCAACAGTTTTTATCATCTTAAAGTCATTTAGTAAACTTACATTTCAACTTCAAAGATATACTATGATCACATACCACACCAAATGTACTGCACTTAAGCTATTGTGCTTTACTTTTAAGAATAATATCATTGCTACATTTCATAATTGATCCCAAAATAATAACTATCCAGTTTTTGGCATTTATTTGTTTTTGTTAATGTATATGTTCATCTAATATTCCCACTTAAAAATTATCCATAAAAAAGGCACAAAAAATACAAATATCTAAAGGCTCAACCAATATTACCTAGACTACGAGTTGATTTGGTATGTAGTATAGGAATGGATACATGGTACAATACTTTTCTCATTATGCAATGCTTTGGTTAAACTTAGTTGGTACAATACTTTTGAGTCATGGTTCACTTTGTAACCCTAATCCAGATTGCATTGACTATTTTGTGATTTAATATATAATCATACATCTATATTCCATAGATAACTAATATTTATACTAATTTCTGGTAAGATTTACAAATTAAATCATAGTTAATGACATTGTACCAGAAAATAATTGTAAATAATAAAAAACTAGTAATTGTAAATTTACTTTTTGAGAAAAAACTAGAACACTGCAAATCAATACATAAAATTAAAAATCATCACAAAAAAAAAAAAAAAAAATTAACAAGTTAGGGTTACAATTAGAAGTTGAGTTTATAATTTGAAATAACCTAGATCACGAGTAAACTTTGATTTTGAATTACAATCTAGATTCAAGAATTTAAACAATTTAAATCACGAACTCACCCCATTTTCTAGTCCAAGGAATTCTAGGGATATCTAAGATATTAGTATCTAAGGGCTCAACCAAAATGTAAGTTGACAATATTTGGAGATTCATTGCTATTTGTAACTTTATTCTTCCCTAAAATCCATGGTATTACATTTTTATGAACTCTATCACAAGTTTTTCTCTATCCTAAAGTGTATCCAATTTTCGTTTTCTTCAATGCATTTCTACTTTCAACACCCCAATGGAATGAAAATTTTGATTCTATCATAATGTGTTGTAGAACATGCAATTCTATTATATCATACAGGTTACAAAATCAGTTTTCATTTGAGCTCGGCCATTGAGAAGACCTAAAATTTAGAAAGATAAAAGGCTCTCTAATTACAACGGCATACAAAATGTAGAATTGGAACAATGAAATTGGAGTTAATTAATATAAAGTCCATGATAGATAAATGGTAGCATGATCAATCAGTTTCTGGTGAGCCAATCCAAACTTAGCAACACAATAAATATTTAAACCCTGTAAAACTATGACAAATTTTTCATTATGGTGATCACCATCATCCTCCTCCCATTGCAAGATGGTAGACAATGAAAATTATAAATGGAAACACATGATAGATAAGGATATAAAATTATTCAATACAATTCAACTCAACTAAATCTGCATCCCAACTATTTGAGGTCAAATACAAAAATCTTATTTTTCCATTGTGCTTTATCAAGGGTCACGTTTTCTATTAAATTATGAAACATTGTATTATTTCTTACTATTTCCTTCAAAATTAGTTTCAGTCTACCTCTACCTCTTGTATTATCATCAATATGTATTAAATCACTTTTCCTCACTAATGCATTACTAGATCTTCTATGAACATGTCCAAAATTAAAAAACTTACATTGACATGAGCATCGTCTTGAAGATTGTAAACTACGCGACAATCAACCTCTGCCTGCAGGTAATGGCATTTGGCTTGAATGATCTCCTCTGACTCATCATTACTGCACCCATTGAAATTATTTACAAATTGAAAAACAATATATGAAAGCTTAATCCTACAAGGATGACGTGATAGACAAACTAACAATCTTTTTGTTAAGCATGCCAGTGATTAAAAGTAAAAGGCTTTCCCTAATAGAAGCAAGCATAAGCAAATGCTTCTAAAAGAAAGCAGTAGTCAGAAGCTTACCCTTTTGTGGCAGTGCATGAAACATTCTTTTTCCCCTTGCTCTGTAAATCGAGAAAATTAGTCCATTACAACACTTGAAAGACAAAAGTATCGAAAAATGGAATAGATTTTTGTTGCTAATACTTCAAAAAGATATCAAGGAGACAGCAAAATTTTGGATATTCATTACATTACACAACCATAAATTCTTACAACTTATACATTAAAGATGTAGAACAATATAGTGGCCAGCTCAAGGAACAGTAACACCGAGTCACCATCGTCATTTAATATCACCATCCAATAACAATCTTACAAATGAACAAAGTGAGCTCCACTTATTTATACATGATGGAGATTACCTACATGGACATAACAATTACTAAATTTAATAGGATCTACTTGGTTAGAGCATCTCCAATCCTTACCCCTTTTTTTAACCGAATTTTAAATTTGGGTAAAAATAGCCTAAAAACCTTCTTCAATCATTTACCCAAACTCATACCAACTCAAGAAAAATTCAAATCTTTACTCAAATCACAAATAGTCAAATTTTATTCTCTTTTAAAGATCTAGTGATCATAGTTCACTCTCTTTTAAATTTGGAATAACCCTCCTTTAAATTTAAGTCTATCCTCCTTTAAATTTGAATTTATCTATTAGTTATTTGTATCAAATTAAAGTTTTTAATCAAATGTTAACCCAAATTTGAGTAAAAATTTGAATCGTAATCGAATATGCTGTAATGTTATTTTATTATTGATTGGTGTTCAATATTTTCTTCAGCTCAAGAGCCTAAAAACGGTTAAAAAAACAACTGTGTACAGAAAAACCATCATTTATGGAAAATAAAAAAATGGTGAATTAGTTTGTACCTGATATATTCTACGCTTATATATAAAGTCGGGTAAAAGCCTCAAAACCATTAAATGAACAATGATATACACAGAAAACCGCTACATTTTACAAAAATACATATTCAAAACGAACATTTATTTATCTGGGTATATACTTGTATGTACATTATTGAGTTGAAATGAGGAGAAGTTCGAACCTTTCCTTGGTATCGATGAGGCCACCGACGCCGCGCTTCATCATTGTCAATCGGTTGACCGATATACCGACTCTCCGCCCGGGGGGGGGGGGGGGGGGGGGGGGGGGGGGGGGGGGGGGGGGGGGGGGGGGGGGGGGGGGGGGGGGGGGGGGGGGGGGGGGGGGGGGGGGGGGGGGGGGGGGGGGGGGGGGGGGGGGGGGGGGGGGGGGGGGGGGGGGGGGGGGGGGGGGGGGGGGGGGGGGGGGGGGGGGGGGGGGGGGGGGGGGGGGGGGGGGGGGGGGGGGGGGGGGGGGGGGGGGGGGGGGGGGGGGGGGGGGGGGGGGGGGGGGGGGGGGGGGGGGGGGGGGGGGGGGGGGGGGGGGGGGGGGGGGGGGGGGGGGGGGGGGGGGGGGGGGGGGGGGGGGGGGGGGGGGGGGGGGGGGGGGGGGGGGGGGGGGGGGGGGGGGGGGGGGGGGGGGGGGGGGGGGGGGGGGGGGGGGGGGGGGGGGGGGGGGGGGGGGGGGGGGGGGGGGGGGGGGGGGGGGGGGGGGGGGGGGGGGGGGGGGGGGGGGGGGGGGGGGGGGGGGGGGGGGGGGGGGGGGGGGGGGGGGGGGGGGGGGGGGGGGGGGGGGGGGGGGGGGGGGGGGGGGGGGGGGGGGGGGGGGGGGGGGGGGGGGGGGGGGGGGGGGGGGGGGGGGGGGGGGGGGGGGGGGGGGGGGGGGGGGGGGGGGGGGGGGGGGGGGGGGGGGGGGGGGGGGGGGGGGGGGGGGGGGGGGGGGGGGGGGGGGGGGGGGGGGGGGGGGGGGGGGGGGGGGGGGGGGGGGGGGGGGGGGGGGGGGGGGGGGGGGGGGGGGGGGGGGGGGGGGGGGGGGGGGGGGGGGGGGGGGGGGGGGGGGGGGGGGGGGGGGGGGGGGGGGGGGGGGGGGGGGGGGGGGGGGGGGGGGGGGGGGGGGGGGGGGGGGGGGGGGGGGGGGGGGGGGGGGGGGGGGGGGGGGGGGGGGGGGGGGGGGGGGGGGGGGGGGGGGGGGGGGGGGGGGGGGGGGGGGGGGGGGGGGGGGGGGGGGGGGGGGGGGGGGGGGGGGGGGGGGGGGGGGGGGGGGGGGGGGGGGGGGGGGGGGGGGGGGGGGGGGGGGGGGGGGGGGGGGGGGGGGGGGGGGGGGGGGGGGGGGGGGGGGGGGGGGGGGGGGGGGGGGGGGGGGGGGGGGGGGGGGGGGGGGGGGGGGGGGGGGGGGGGGGGGGGGGGGGGGGGGGGGGGGGGGGGGGGGGGGGGGGGGGGGGGGGGGGGGGGGGGGGGGGGGGGGGGGGGGGGGGGGGGGGGGGGGGGGGGGGGGGGGGGGGGGGGGGGGGGGGGGGGGGGGGGGGGGGGGGGGGGGGGGGGGGGGGGGGGGGGGGGGGGGGGGGGGGGGGGGGGGGGGGGGGGGGGGGGGGGGGGGGGGGGGGGGGGGGGGGGGGGGGGGGGGGGGGGGGGGGGGGGGGGGGGGGGGGGGGGGGGGGGGGGGGGGGGGGGGGGGGGGGGGGGGGGGGGGGGGGGGGGGGGGGGGGGGGGGGGGGGGGGGGGGGGGGGGGGGGGGGGGGGGGGGGGGGGGGGGGGGGGGGGGGGGGGGGGGGGGGGGGGGGGGGGGGGGGGGGGGGGGGGGGGGGGGGGGGGGGGGGGGGGGGGGGGGGGGGGGGGGGGGGGGGGGGGGGGGGGGGGGGGGGGGGGGGGGGGGGGGGGGGGGGGGGGGGGGGGGGGGGGGGGGGGGGGGGGGGGGGGGGGGGGGGGGGGGGGGGGGGGGGGGGGGGGGGGGGGGGGGGGGGGGGGGGGGGGGGGGGGGGGGGGGGGGGGGGGGGGGGGGGGGGGGGGGGGGGGGGGGGGGGGGGGGGGGGGGGGGGGGGGGGGGGGGGGGGGGGGGGGGGGGGGGGGGGGGGGGGGGGGGGGGGGGGGGGGGGGGGGGGGGGGGGGGGGGGGGGGGGGGGGGGGGGGGGGGGGGGGGGGGGGGGGGGGGGGGGGGGGGGGGGGGGGGGGGGGGGGGGGGGGGGGGGGGGGGGGGGGGGGGGGGGGGGGGGGGGGGGGGGGGGGGGGGGGGGGGGGGGGGGGGGGGGGGGGGGGGGGGGGGGGGGGGGGGGGGGGGGGGGGGGGGGGGGGGGGGGGGGGGGGGGGGGGGGGGGGGGGGGGGGGGGGGGGGGGGGGGGGGGGGGGGGGGGGGGGGGGGGGGGGGGGGGGGGGGGGGGGGGGGGGGGGGGGGGGGGGGGGGGGGGGGGGGGGGGGGGGGGGGGGGGGGGGGGGGGGGGGGGGGGGGGGGGGGGGGGGGGGGGGGGGGGGGGGGGGGGGGGGGGGGGGGGGGGGGGGGGGGGGGGGGGGGGGGGGGGGGGGGGGGGGGGGGGGGGGGGGGGGGGGGGGGGGGGGGGGGGGGGGGGGGGGGGGGGGGGGGGGGGGGGGGGGGGGGGGGGGGGGGGGGGGGGGGGGGGGGGGGGGGGGGGGGGGGGGGGGGGGGGGGGGGGGGGGGGGGGGGGGGGGGGGGGGGGGGGGGGGGGGGGGGGGGGGGGGGGGGGGGGGGGGGGGGGGGGGGGGGGGGGGGGGGGGGGGGGGGGGGGGGGGGGGGGGGGGGGGGGGGGGGGGGGGGGGGGGGGGGGGGGGGGGGGGGGGGGGGGGGGGGGGGGGGGGGGGGGGGGGGGGGGGGGGGGGGGGGGGGGGGGGGGGGGGGGGGGGGGGGGGGGGGGGGGGGGGGGGGGGGGGGGGGGGGGGGGGGGGGGGGGGGGGGGGGGGGGGGGGGGGGGGGGGGGGGGGGGGGGGGGGGGGGGGGGGGGGGGGGGGGGGGGGGGGGGGGGGGGGGGGGGGGGGGGGGGGGGGGGGGGGGGGGGGGGGGGGGGGGGGGGGGGGGGGGGGGGGGGGGGGGGGGGGGGGGGGGGGGGGGGGGGGGGGGGGGGGGGGGGGGGGGGGGGGGGGGGGGGGGGGGGGGGGGGGGGGGGGGGGGGGGGGGGGGGGGGGGGGGGGGGGGGGGGGGGGGGGGGGGGGGGGGGGGGGGGGGGGGGGGGGGGGGGGGGGGGGGGGGGGGGGGGGGGGGGGGGGGGGGGGGGGGGGGGGGGGGGGGGGGGGGGGGGGGGGGGGGGGGGGGGGGGGGGGGGGGGGGGGGGGGGGGGGGGGGGGGGGGGGGGGGGGGGGGGGGGGGGGGGGGGGGGGGGGGGGGGGGGGGGGGGGGGGGGGGGGGGGGGGGGGGGGGGGGGGGGGGGGGGGGGGGGGGGGGGGGGGGGGGGGGGGGGGGGGGGGGGGGGGGGGGGGGGGGGGGGGGGGGGGGGGGGGGGGGGGGGGGGGGGGGGGGGGGGGGGGGGGGGGGGGGGGGGGGGGGGGGGGGGGGGGGGGGGGGGGGGGGGGGGGGGGGGGGGGGGGGGGGGGGGGGGGGGGGGGGGGGGGGGGGGGGGGGGGGGGGGGGGGGGGGGGGGGGGGGGGGGGGGGGGGGGGGGGGGGGGGGGGGGGGGGGGGGGGGGGGGGGGGGGGGGGGGGGGGGGGGGGGGGGGGGGGGGGGGGGGGGGGGGGGGGGGGGGGGGGGGGGGGGGGGGGGGGGGGGGGGGGGGGGGGGGGGGGGGGGGGGGGGGGGGGGGGGGGGGGGGGGGGGGGGGGGGGGGGGGGGGGGGGGGGGGGGGGGGGGGGGGGGGGGGGGGGGGGGGGGGGGGGGGGGGGGGGGGGGGGGGGGGGGGGGGGGGGGGGGGGGGGGGGGGGGGGGGGGGGGGGGGGGGGGGGGGGGGGGGGGGGGGGGGGGGGGGGGGGGGGGGGGGGGGGGGGGGGGGGGGGGGGGGGGGGGGGGGGGGGGGGGGGGGGGGGGGGGGGGGGGGGGGGGGGGGGGGGGGGGGGGGGGGGGGGGGGGGGGGGGGGGGGGGGGGGGGGGGGGGGGGGGGGGGGGGGGGGGGGGGGGGGGGGGGGGGGGGGGGGGGGGGGGGGGGGGGGGGGGGGGGGGGGGGGGGGGGGGGGGGGGGGGGGGGGGGGGGGGGGGGGGGGGGGGGGGGGGGGGGGGGGGGGGGGGGGGGGGGGGGGGGGGGGGGGGGGGGGGGGGGGGGGGGGGGGGGGGGGGGGGGGGGGGGGGGGGGGGGGGGGGGGGGGGGGGGGGGGGGGGGGGGGGGGGGGGGGGGGGGGGGGGGGGGGGGGGGGGGGGGGGGGGGGGGGGGGGGGGGGGGGGGGGGGGGGGGGGGGGGGGGGGGGGGGGGGGGGGGGGGGGGGGGGGGGGGGGGGGGGGGGGGGGGGGGGGGGGGGGGGGGGGGGGGGGGGGGGGGGGGGGGGGGGGGGGGGGGGGGGGGGGGGGGGGGGGGGGGGGGGGGGGGGGGGGGGGGGGGGGGGGGGGGGGGGGGGGGGGGGGGGGGGGGGGGGGGGGGGGGGGGGGGGGGGGGGGGGGGGGGGGGGGGGGGGGGGGGGGGGGGGGGGGGGGGGGGGGGGGGGGGGGGGGGGGGGGGGGGGGGGGGGGGGGGGGGGGGGGGGGGGGGGGGGGGGGGGGGGGGGGGGGGGGGGGGGGGGGGGGGGGGGGGGGGGGGGGGGGGGGGGGGGGGGGGGGGGGGGGGGGGGGGGGGGGGGGGGGGGGGGGGGGGGGGGGGGGGGGGGGGGGGGGGGGGGGGGGGGGGGGGGGGGGGGGGGGGGGGGGGGGGGGGGGGGGGGGGGGGGGGGGGGGGGGGGGGGGGGGGGGGGGGGGGGGGGGGGGGGGGGGGGGGGGGGGGGGGGGGGGGGGGGGGGGGGGGGGGGGGGGGGGGGGGGGGGGGGGGGGGGGGGGGGGGGGGGGGGGGGGGGGGGGGGGGGGGGGGGGGGGGGGGGGGGGGGGGGGGGGGGGGGGGGGGGGGGGGGGGGGGGGGGGGGGGGGGGGGGGGGGGGGGGGGGGGGGGGGGGGGGGGGGGGGGGGGGGGGGGGGGGGGGGGGGGGGGGGGGGGGGGGGGGGGGGGGGGGGGGGGGGGGGGGGGGGGGGGGGGGGGGGGGGGGGGGGGGGGGGGGGGGGGGGGGGGGGGGGGGGGGGGGGGGGGGGGGGGGGGGGGGGGGGGGGGGGGGGGGGGGGGGGGGGGGGGGGGGGGGGGGGGCATCAAACGAGGGAAATGTTCAAACATTACTCAT